TTGATTGATTTAATAAAAATAAAAGAAAATTACATATTTGAAATTATTTAACGTTAATTAACAAATTAGTCATCACCATTTTTAATTTAATAATCAAAAAAAGGTGATCAAAAAAAAAAATTACTTCATGATTGTAAACATATATTCTAATTTATCGGTATCTCAACTTCACCCATTTTCAAAGAGATACTGGTATTCATGAAATGATTTAATCCACAATTATTTTGTTAACCACCGATATTTTGATATACAAAATAATTGAAATAAATACAGAAAAAATGGCAACTCATCAAAAATAATTATAATCATCATTTGGGCACCTTAATACAGATCAAATCGCAATATATACTTTGATAAAAAGCTGTTTAAATACGGCTAAAAAATGGATTATCTTATCAACCTTTCTTTAAATTCAAATGAAAAAATGCAGTCACAAATGAGGTTTTAAGCAGATAAATTATAATGAAAAAAGGAAACAAGTAAAAGTAAGATAGAAAAAAGAAAATTTAAAAAAAATTTACGTCTTAACAAAATTGTATTTGATATACAATTATAAAAATAATTTTTCGACAAAAAGTGAAAAAATTGATAAGATAATCATAAAGTATTGAAAAACAAATAAATAACAATTTGATGTTTCAGAAAATGCAAATCGATATCAATTCAATAAAATAATAAATTTATTATTTTATTAGATGACAAACAACCAGGTTGATGCTAAAGATAATACATTGGACAAAACAGTTTCAAAAAAAACAAGCAAAAAAGAAATTAAAGAAGAACGAAAAGAAGCTCGTTATGAAAATAAGAAACTGAGGAAGAGAGAAAAGTGTGAAAGAAAGCATGAGAAAAAAATGAAAAAGTATGAAAAGAAAATGGAAAAAATTGAAGAAAAAAAAGAAAACTTTGAAAATCGTCATCATATAGATCAAAAAGAGGAAGAAGAAGAGCATGAAGAGCAGCAACAGCAGCAACATCAGCCACAACAACAACCTCAATTAAATTTATATACAGCATCTGAAACAGCAAGCAATCCTCCGTCTAATTACCAAATAGAGAAACGAGAAGCTAATGAAACTCATTGTATTGATGATCTTCCAGAGATTCCTGATGAAGATATTATATCTGTTGATCCATCAGAAGTCTCAGATGTTGCAGATGAAGACATTCTTTCTGTAGATCCTTCTGATATTCCTTCAGATATTTCTTTATCTTTTACACTGATAGAAGAAAACTAATGTAAATCAATGAGGAGTAAATCAATAAATGTTTTTTTATAACATCTGAAATTATGTTATGATTTTATTTTATGATATATTATATTTATTTGATAAATTAGTATTTTTAATTTGAATTATTACGTAAAAATAATATAATATAATATAATATAATATAATAAATAAATCAAATTATATTTGCAAATTCATTCATCATTCAAAGGTTTACAATTTTTCAGAGAGGGCTTAAAACTTAAATGTATTTATATCTTTGATAAAAATAAATAAACATATTATTTTAAAAATAAAAAAAAAACAAATTGAAAAATTTTTTAAATAAATATTTTAACAAATAATAATAAAAATAATAGGTAAGTATATTGATCCAAATACTTTAAATTTTTTTTTAGTTTTTTTGAATTCCGATCATTTTTTTTTTTTTTTGATTGTTTGTCATTTAACAATTACTAGATTTTCAACATAATTATCTAATTGTTATATATATATATATAATTATAATATATTGTTTAATAATAGTTTGTTATAATTAAAAACAAAATAATTAAATTGTAATATGAAAATAGTATTATTTTTTATTATAAACATGTTTTAAAATTGTGATAATTGAATAAATTTCATAACTTCAGTTATTCTATCTGAAAATTATTTCAAAATCAAACAATTTATTATATCTATTTGATGTTATTTTTTGCTAATTCTAAAGCATTTTTTTTATTGAATAAATATGTAAAATTCAACATCTTATCAAAAAGTTTTTTCGATAAATATCGTATTAAATAATTATCGTGTAACTATTATAATTTATGAATCGAACCGAATCACTTGAAGAGCCACTCAATCCAGCAGAGACTCAATATCATCAAGACGATAGCAATGATATTAATACAATTGATGGCGAATCCGGAAGAAATTTAAGTCGAAAGGGGAGCATTAATTCTAATCCCAGCATTGAAGACCAAAATAATTCGAACCAAGAATCAAATAACAAATCAGTTATCGATTCCGAAACCAATTTAATTTCGCCAAATAACGAACCAAAAAAGCGACGAGTTTTTACACCAGAAGATAAGAAACTTGGTGGCCATCCACCACTTATTACAATTTTTAGGCTTTGTGTTGGACCTTTGCTTTCACAAGTCACAAATGCGTTATATGGAATTATCACTACAATATGGATTTCAAAAGCATGCGGCGAAGATGGACTTTCAGCAGTTTCAATGATGAATGCATTTGATAATATTGGCCGTTCTTTTGGATTTTTCCTTGCAATTGCAGCTGCTACTCAAATATCTTTTTTATATGGCAAAGGAAACACTACAGAAGCCGGACAAATTATTGCAGATTTAATCAGAATGTCATTTGTATGTGGTGCCATCACTGCTGGAATTCTCATTCCAGTTTTAAGACCAGTTGCAAAATGGTTTGGTGCAGACGAGAAAATAACCCAACTTGGTATTGATTATATGCTTCCATTAAATATCTGTGCATTCAATTCTTGCCTTTTTATTGCATCAGGCGGCTTTTTACAAGGTGAAGGGCGAACTTTTCTTTTTGGAATGTCAAATGTGACATGCTTATGCCTTAACATGGCAATTTTGGATCCAATTTTTCTCTTTGTTTTCAAGATGGGTATCCGAGGTGCTTCAATAGCAACAGTTTTCTCAGAACTCCTTCCTGGGATGACTATTGTAATTCTCTTTTATTGCCATAAATTTGGTGTTAAACCAAAATTAAATCAATTATTTAAAAAATTCAGTCCAAATACATGGTCAGCATTAAAAGTAGGCTTCAGTTCTCTCATCGCTCAATTATCTGGATGTGTCCCCAGCATTGTTGTTCGTAAATATATGGGCCTTGGAGCTGGAGACAATCCCCAAGACTTTGCAGATGTCATGGCTGGATTTAATGCTGCCATTCGTATATCCAATTTAACCTTTTCAATTTTTCAAGCCATTTCACAGGCCTTTATTCCAGCTGCTTCATACTCATATGCAGCCAAAAGATATAAAAGATTTTTGATGCTCTCTCTCCACATGTTTTGGTTAATGTCACTTTGGGGCACAATTACATCAATTGTCACTTGGACGATTCCACGCCAACTTTCAATGATGTTTTCTAAAGAAGAGAGTTACTTAAGATATGCCGAAAGGATGGTTGCTTATAATAATGCAGTTGGTCCTTTAATGAGTGTCAAAATGGTCGCACAATCAATGCTTCAATCTTTACAATTAGGACCACGAGCTACCATTTTGTCGTTCATTAATAATTTTGTCAATATCATCGTCTTTAATTACATACTCTATTATACTAATCCTCACGATGGAGCTAGAATCATCTGGTGCTACCCACTCGCTCATATATCGAGCTGCGTTGTCAGTCCGTTCTTTTTATGGGGACCTTTGAGAAAGATTTACAAGCTAATGAAGGAAGAAGACGCTGAAGCCGAATTCGCTAACATGAATGATGAAGGAAGCGAAATGGAAGATATAAGTGGTTATGCATATAATAATATTGAAAATAATAATCATCAAGACGACTTAAGCAAACAACATGATAAGTTCGTGGAAAAGAATGAAAATGGTGAAGATAAACCTATTGATGCTGAAAATCCAGAACAAGAAAAAAAACTATTGAATATTAAAATTGTTGGAAATGAAACAAATGAGTCACTAATAGAAAGCAGCGAAGAGAAATCATACGAACAAAATGAAAAATGATAAAAAAGAAGATTAATAAGGTGCTTTCTTTAAGGAATGCACTTTAAAGTTATCTTTTTAATATGAATATCTCAGCTTTCATAATGAAGATCACTAGTGATTTTTTTATTCATCATGTTATTAAAGGATTTAGCTTATTATACATATACATTTATTTATGATGTTTTATTTCAATATAAAGTCGAATTCAAAAAGATTGGGACAACTTCTCAATTAAATTCTGATAAAAGTGAAAAACACAATCTTCTTTTCAATTAATTTTTTTTCTTTATTTATTGAGTTATATTTACTAAATTTCCAATCAATAATGAAAAAATGTTTCCAATACGAGCCAAAACATATATTACTGAACTTTCAATTTACAGCACAATACTTAAAAATCGATGATCATCAACTATTATGTAAATTTATGATCAAAATATAGTATTTGAGCAAGTGTTTACAAAAGAAATTCTATTTTAATGTCATTGCAGGCTTTGCAATGCGTTTTCTAGCGAATTTGTGCAAAGATCTATGATAATTTTCACCAAAGATTAGGTAAATTGTATTTTTTTGAGGATTTTTTCCTTACAAAATATAGATTAATGATAGATACAACATTAACCATATGCAAAAATATATGTTTTTATATAAAAATGATTCTTTTTTTCTTTGTTTTTTTATTATTTTCCCCTTTTTCCCCTTTAGCAATTCAATTTTTTTCAATATATCTCACAAAAAAAATCATTCATGCTGGGACAAAATTGAATACTTTTCAGTATATATTTAAATAGTTTGTCCCAAGCTTTTTGAATTCGACTTTACATAAACTGGTACGCAAATTTTCGGACAATTCAAATTTTAATGAACTTTTCAAATATTGAATTGATTATTTTAATAATTCAATGAATTGAATAGTACGATAAAGTACGAAATTTGCGTACCAGTTTATGCATATATTTATGATATTTATAAAATTGTTAACTTTTTCAATGATAAAATTGTTAAATTCGTTACTTTTTACAACATCTCTTATAATGTTTTATTTCTTTGATAGATTTCCTCCCTAACTCAGTTGGTTAGAGTGTCAGACTGTTAATCTGGAAGTCGTGTGTTCGATTCTTCATCGACTTCTAACTGTGAATGAGCCATCACTCACGCTTCTTTTATGCACGATTACGTGCTTTCTTACTCTAATGGTTTTTAATAAACAATCCACACGGGAGGAGATTTTTTTTTCATCTTTTTATTTTCGAGGTTTTGGTTAACTCTAGCTACATATTCGTGATCAGCACCTTCTACTGAGTCGATTGATACCACTCTTCTCGACTTTTCTCAAAATTTTCAAAACTGATTTCAATTATATTAGAACTCATATCACAAAGTCCGACCACTCGATATATCACTCAGTTATACTACCTTAGTTCATTACAATTTATCAATCTCAGCTCTTAACGTTATACTTGTCATTCGATCAGAGATATATTCTTTAACCAAAATCTCATTCTTTTACTCTTATGTTATTATTCTCCTCACTCTCATGTCGTTTATTCCTTCGATCACGCTGTTCTCAGACTCCTTACATCCTTATTCAATTTTTCTCTTCGCCTCATTTATCAGCGTTATACTTTTATGCTATTTTATTTATCCTTTGTACAGATCGAAGTAAAATAAATGTTTACGGAGTCATTTTTTTTTACGAGGCCACTTGATGATTCTTATCTCTTCCGGGCCCTCAAGAGTGCTTGACGGCTGCCGATTAAACTTTGACGGATATATATATCCTATTTAAGTTGCTATGGCTCAATGCGTCTATAGACTCAACGGATGGATGCCCATGAGATCCATTCAGACGACGATCATATGGCTTTCAATTGTTGATCGTTCATTATTCAATTAATACTCGTTCCCTCTCAATTAATTGAATATTTTTTTAATTGTTCTGTTGCTCCTTATGTTCAAGTTGGTCTCACTTTAAAGGTTTAAGCATACCTTTTTTTTCTTACAAAATTGCTTTTTTTGATTGAAAGTTTTGCGAACTTTCGCTTCCTTTTTGCTTTTATGCATTTCTAACCGCTTTTAATAAACAAACCACACGGGAGGAGATTTTTTTTTCATTTTTATTTTCGAGGTTTACGCAGGCAATAACTAGATATTCGTAATCAGTGCACTGAGCTGATTCGTATGGTGCCCTCAGATCGTTGTTTCGTCCGAATTTTCCAAACTGATTTCAATTATATGTAGGGTCACCTCACAAAGTCCGACCACTGGACTTACCACAATATTATACTGTTGTTTCTTATCTCATATTATCAATCTCAGCTCTTAACGTTATATCTCATACTCAATCAGTTATATGCAATTTCAAATATACCTCTCAAAACTTACTCTAATGATATTATACTCTTCCTTCTCACTTTGTTTATTCCAGTTTCCTTCGATCGCGCCTTTCTGTTCCCTTGGTTTCCTACTTTTCGTGACTCCATTCTCATTTTACAATTTCTCTCAATTTTCTCAAATATACAAGGCGTTATACAGTATGAAGACGATTCTCACGGACAGATCGAAGTAAATTGCTACTTATTTTTACTCTTTTAGTTTATTCATTTTTATACATGGAGTCATCTTTCAGTGAGTCTGCTTGTGATTTCAATGATCACACTGCCTTGATGAAAGAATCAAAAGACAGCAGTCAACAAGCGTCTACGGTAAAGGATCTCCGCAAGATGCTGCCTGACACATGTCGCGTGACTCTACTGAAGGGCGCTCAATGAGCCCGTTCGTTCTCACATTTAAGTTCTTGTTCAATTGTTTTATCCGTTACTCATTGTTCCTCATTTTCAGATCTCAATCTGATATCCTCAGTTACATTGTTACATTGTTTCAAGTTCTTTGTTCTTTAGACGCGTTGTTTTACATCAGACTCGGAAACCATCGCTGGTTGTAACACAACCCGTCCTCAGAATGATCTGTGTTGCTCAATGATCATTTTTTGGCGACCGTTTATTCCAAGTCTGACTCATTACTTGAAGTCTTTTTGGACCTTTTAACTTCAAGTTTTACCTTTTTCCTTTTATTTTCCTTTTTTTTCTTAAAGCTTATGCCTAGCTTTTTTTTATTAATTGCTTAATCGCAAAACTCTTAAAGCATTTAATAAACATTTAATCCACACGGGAGGAGATTTTTTTTTATTTTGCAAATATGTTGATCTACCCAACGAAAAGTAGATTTTTGGAATCAGCAGAAGATACTGATTCGTTTGATTCCACTCCGGAAAAAATCGGTGAAAATTTTTTTAATAATCGAGATATCATGACCGATAGGTGTCACAATCCTACCCATATTCACAACAGCAATTGCAATTCCGATAACAAATACGATGGAGGTTTTAAGATTCCTTGTTCTAGGGAACAGATATCCCATCATCCAAAACTCAATAAGTTCGACTTTTTCAAAGACAATTCGCTACTAGACGACCTTGACTCCTCGTATAAAACAAGATACGCAACTCAAATCTCACCCCGCAAAAAAGATACTAGCAGATATCCTAGTGATGATGTGAAGCTGCGGCTCCCGCCGGTTGGACCAGCTTCACAATCACTTTCCAAGTGTCCTGATGACGATATGACCAATTTCAAGCACATTAATTCAGATTCAGAAAAAAGTGATAATAGTGATCAAATATCAATTTCCGATGAAGAAATTGAGGAACCTGAAACTATTTTCTGCAATTCAAATAATCCTTCTAGAGGGACAGAAGTGCTCTTACAGTCGGGTGTTCACTATAACCCGTCGAATTCTGATGGAGTTCCTAACCCATCATGGATCGTTGTTACGTGCGATCCTTCATTGATTTCTCGTTGTCCTCTTGCTTATAATATGAATGAGAAGTCATCCGAAGGAATTCTGGTTGCTCGAGGACAATTGATCATTTCCGATGAGCAACCAAAATTCGACAGGAATCGACCAGCAATCCCATCAACGGATGAAGAACTTCGTTTAAATGCTTTTGATCCCTATTCTTTCGTTCCTTCGTCTAGCATTCGAACGGTTCCATTCAATTTTCACTCAAAATGTTCCCCGTTTGCTTCGCATGTGTCCAACATCGTTAATTCGCTCTTTCTCTCAGGAACATGCAACATCGGGTGCAACACATCTCACTTCACCGACATTTCACATCACATGTCATGGAGTTACATCAATAATAATAACTTTTATTTCCTTTCTTCGCAGCACATTGATACGCGTGATATTGTTAATTCTTACTCACCAAACTCAGCAGCTAATATTAGTAGTCAATCAGCTGGTGCCATCTCTCAACCTGCTGACTCAAACACGTTTGAGAACAACCATGTTGTGAGTGCTGATACTCACAATGTTGAATCTGTTGCTAATCACGCTGTTGACGTTGACAATCAGATTGTCAAGTCAACAGCTCACGTCGCTCATCACGCTGTTGACGTTGACAATCAGACTGTCAAGTCAACAGCTCACGTCGCTCATCACGCTGTTGACGTTGACAATCAGATTGTCAAGTCAACAGCTCACGTCGCTCATCACGCTGTTGACGTTGACAATCAGACTGTCAAGTCAACAGCTCACGTCGCTCATCACGCTGTTGACGTTGACAATCAGATTGTCAAGTCAACAGCTCACGTCGCTCATCATGCTGTTGACGTTGACAATCAGATTGTCAAGTCAACAGCTCACGTCGCTCATCATGCTGTTGACGTTGACAATCAGATTGTCAAGTCAACAGCTCACGTCGCTCATCACGCTGTTGACGTTGACAATCAGATTGTCACGTCAACAGCTCACGTCGCTCATCATGCTGTTGACGTTGACAATCAGATTGTCAAGTCAACAGCTCACGTCGCTCATCATGCTGTTGACGTTGACAATCAGACTGTCACGTCAACAGCTCACGTCGCTCATCACACTGTTGACGTTGACAATCAGATTGTCAAGTCAACAGCTCACGTCGCTCATCATGCTGTTGACGTTGACAATCAGACTGTCACGTCAACAGCTCACGTCGCTCACCACAACGTTGACGTTGACAACCAAACCGTCACGTCAACGGCTCACATCACTCATCACGCTGTTGGCGTCGACGATCGGGTTGTCACGTCAACTGCTCACATCGATCATCATCAAGTAGTCACGAAGGAGAAAGTCATCACTTCCGTCATCGAAGTGCCTAAGTTCGTCTTCGAGTTCAATGAGAAGGTGGTCCCTTTATTTACTCTCGCAGGTGATCACTCATCATTCAATTCATCCTCTGACTCTCGAAGCAATTCATTAGGCACACAGACTTCATCCACTAGTACGAGTAGTACTATTAGTGGTGCAGAAGACTTCTCCGAGGTGCGTTCTCAATCAGAACGCACCGATCACTCTGATGATGATGATCGCAACGGTAGTAATGATGGATGTTCTTCACCGTCAAGGGACGATAGGATTTCTATTGAATGGATTGTGGATGAGCTGTCCAAAATCAATTCTAAAGCAGAATTGACCTCGCTCATCGACCAACTTCAGGTTGGTAATATTGACATGTCTCCTTTCGCTGATGTTGTTGATGTAAATGTTCCTATCGTCCTTCTGATGTATCAGAAGTGTAGATGGTTGGGTGTTGGGCAGTTTTATTGCCCTTGTTGCGACAAAACGTTCCCTACATGTGCCTCGTTATCATTCCACCTGAGGTCGCTGCATGTAACGAATGGGGTTCCAATTGAACAGGCGGCTTTTGAATACATAATTGGTCGTAAGTTAAGATGGAAGATTGACTCGCCTCATCTTCCGGCAGATGCTCCACATTATCGGACCATTTACGTTTGTCCTGTGAGTGACTGTAACTATCTTGTGAGTCGGGCGAATTCGTTGAGCAGCCATATCGGTTCGGCTCATCAGGATCTTGAAGCTCTCAAAAGAGAAGTGGGTGTTTTCTGGGCAATGAACATCCTGCATGCTAGAAGATGCAGATGTTTACTTGCAACACGGGATGTCTTTCATGATCTGCGTGGTTCGATGTGTTCAACTTGCAGTGACTTCATTGGAAAAGACAAAGTCACTGTCAAGCAACACTCTAACAGATCTCATCCAGCATCCAACGTTGAAGGTCATCGTT